CCCCAAAACCCCAAAACCCCAAAACCCCAAAACCCCAAAATGAAAATTCAAGATTGAACATAATTTTAGTCACTACTACTCTGACTTTTATCATCGTTTTTAACTGGATTAGCTCTATACATTCCGAGCTCAAGCTCTTTATGCTTTCTTCCCTCAAGATCGATCCTTCCATTAGATTTTCTCTTCATGAACCAATAAATAGCAAAGCTGACGACAAAGACGAGGATTATGAATCCAAAGAATAAGTAATACAACAAACTGACGTCAAAAATCTTTTCAGGATGATACCCACTAGCAGCAACAATAGAAGCAACGCTTAATACTCTTGTATTCTTCTCAGAGGAACTCAACAGAGGGTATCTATCACTTTCTAGAGTAAGGAATGATTGCTGATTCTTCCCAATCACACTCCCCGAGTTCATATCCTTCCACTTATTTGTTGGTACTTCAACAATTAATTTCCAAACGTTAGATTCCAAACTAGCCAAACTTGGATAAGTGAGTTCATGGGATTTGCTAAATTTGCCTTCCTGGTCGGTTGGGAGAATCACTTTAATTCCTTTATCAACTATTACCTTCACCTTAACATTCTGGACAGGCGAAAATCCTAGATTCTGGGCTTGAATTTGAATGAAGAATTTCTGAAACTCCTTATCCTCCATTGTTCAGTTTTCGATCATTCAGATCTCCTTCTCATACTTGATAACTCTCACATCGATCTGTGCGGACAATTTATGCATCGTGTAGTTTATCCAAGGGTAATTCTGCTGAACAATAGGCTTCACAAAGTCCATAAAAGGTAAAAATCTATCAGAAGTCCTACTCTTAGTACCTAACTCTGGTGAAATAGAGATCATATCATTTTGAGTTGACATCCAATCAGTTGCATCTCCATTAGCTTTATATTTAATGGTTTGCATGCCATTTCCAAACTGCATTTCTTTAGGTAGATTACCCTCATCTCTAATGTTTTCATACATAGCATAGATTGGCTTCTCAACCATCTTTGTATTCCACTGATCATCATAATTAAATGGAATGATAAAAAGATTCCCAAAAGTATGGAAATTGATCGCAATTTTTACATTGTGGTCACTAGCCAATATGAAATCCCTCACAGCTTGAGTCTCTGGCTCGCTGAATGGGGAAGCTCCTCTGTAATCTTCCTGGCATTTCTGAGAAGAACTACCCACATTATCAAGAGCCCACATGAATCCATAATTTCTATTAAGATCAACTCCGAGAGAATTCTTATCTCAGCCTCCACTATCTCTTCTGTTTTTACGAACGTAGTTGAAAAGATTGGATTCTTCCCACTCTTTTGAAACAAGATAGTATCCATCAACGTTTACAAGAGGAAGACTGTAGAATGTATGGTTCTCAAGCAAAGCTAAAGTTTCTCTATCTTCATGAACAGAGTTATATAGCAAGCTCAACACCACATATAAGTTCATTGTGACACCAACTACTTCTCTTGCATGATGAGCTGAAGTAAGAAGTATAGCAGGCGGATTATCTTTTGGATCTCCTTCCTCAAATTTCTGAAAGTTTTCTCCAATAGTAAGAAGTAGCATCTCCCTCTCTTCATATGTCTTCCCAATTGAAGATACTCTCGTAAAAGTAAATTGAGAGTCAATATTGTGTAACAGATCGACCACATTTTGATATGTGAAAAATCTATATTTTATCACCAATTAACTCCTGAGTATAGTTAATAATAGAAAAATACATCGCCTTTGTTGCATTATGCTCTTTTAAGTCGAATAGGAAGCTTACAACAATCAATATATTAAGATCTTACCTTATCCCACTATCTTTTCCAACATAAGTTTCCATAAACTTCTCAAAAGTTTCACTTTCCTTCATCTCATTCCTTAAATTTGAAAAATCAAGTTTCCTGCAAAGCACTGCCCCAACAATAAGAGTAATACAAATAATCTTGGCTAGCCTTGTTTCCATCGCCAATCTAAATATATAATAATTCAATTCTAAATTATTAAATAGGGGTTTTGGGGTTTTGGGGTTTTGGGGTTTTGGGG